CATTTATTTGTAACTACCTGAATTAGCTGCATTACCGGAATTTCAAGTATATTAACGCGATTCTTGTTTGCTCAACAGAACTGTATACGTTTTCTTCGTGGAGTGGTCAATGTGTTCATTCATACGAGTAAGGCATATTTTATCTTCTTTATATTTTTCAATTAAACATTATGAGTCGCTACCAGTTATTGAATTTTCTGTTTTATAAGAGAAAGCATGCGATTTGTTTTCTACATAATTTTAAGACATATATACGTTTGTATGTTATTAACAAGTAAATTTGTGCAAGTTACGGTGTACACTATTTTATAAGAATAGCCACTTCTCATTTTTAAAAATCTGTTTTCGTCAGTAATATCATAATGAAGTTGTCTCGATGCAACGATATTTCTATGGAACTTGACTAATAGCAATAAACACTGTTTTTTCTTCTTCGCTTCTGACATAATTCGTTGATAAATTGATTCTCAAATTCATTAAGAACTTGATGTGCAAATTAATTATTTAAAATATTTGAAAGTGAGTAACCCTATTTCAGGTAAAAATCTTATTTACAAAACTGTGTTAAAAATAAAAAACTATTATTTCTTAAATTTTCTCTGTATTATGTTGTAAATATACTATATAAACTAATAATGTACAATATGTGTACATTGAAATTATTAAAAACATTTTTACTTCTTTTTAATTACAATTTTTTATTTTAAGTTGTTATAATTTATAAGTTAACAACATTATAATTTCTTTTGATCAAATTAGTAATACACAAAATATTTGTTTATTATTATTTTCTTGTTACTATCATTCTTGTTATAAAATTTTTCTACAGATCCAGAAAGAATTAATTAATATTGTAGAGAGTGAAGAAGAAATGAATTTGAAACTAAAGATTAAAAATTGAATTAGAAGGATAAAGAATAAGGAAACTAAAACTTAATGTATCAACGTGTCTATCGGTGATAGAATGCATGATATAACAATATTATAAATTCATAATTGCTATAATGAAAAGTACTACAAATAGCCATTAATGTTCTATTTATATTCAACAAGTTTTAAAAACATGAGAACAACTTTTTATCTGTCGAACAATAGTTTCTAATGAATTATGAATTATTCATTCTAATCTAAAGATCTTGTTCCACAGTATTTCTATTAATATTTTTATTATTATATTTACAATTTCATTTTTCAGAATTAAATTAATTAATCCTTTGCAATGGAATGACGTGTCCTGAATATCAGAAAGATAAAAATGATTACAGAAATGAGGAAACAGAATAGAAAATTGAGAATACTGAATATAGAAATGAGAAGACAATACAGAAAAACATGTGAACGATTTCACCATTTGATATTATTTGCCTTTTCCTTTCTGATGAGAATCATTTACTAATACTTGTAAGTAGTGAATTTATTTAAGAAGGTATAAGAATAACTGTATTGGTCTTCAATTTTCATTCACATCTGTCAATTAATTTTCAGCATAAAAGGTTAAAATACAAAACGAAATACAAAAATAATCTAGAACCAACAATAAAAGAGTCAAAAATTCGATAGTCGATAATCAAGAGTCAAAAATACCACATGCACAGTAGTAACTATAAGGTTAACAATTCCGTCAAAATCAAGTGGTAAAACAACAGATTGATCAGCTCCTCGTTACATTCAGTCGATAAATCAAGATCAGGACTGTAACGATTGATCGTAAACAAATCGTTCGCATCCAAACGAAGGAATCTCAGATCGAATACAGAATAATTAACACATTTTGGAATCGAATCAAGTTCCAATATTCCTGTAACAGACAGGACAGATGGCGGAACATGGCAGAAATCACCAAAGTGACAAGATTAATCAGCCATTAAATGTTTCCTCTTGTGAAATGGTACACAATCAAGAGTGTATCAACCTCAGGAGAATGCATTCCTTTTGTTTGTTACTAGTTACAGGCTACTCGATGGAAAAATAACGAACGAAACGGGGAACGATAGTAGTTAAGGGCTAAACCTGTTTCTCAGACTCGCACAGCTGCTCCGGTATTTCGATCAAACGTCATTGGCATTAATTAAGTTTTGAAAATGTCGATAAAATTGATAGGAATTAAACAGCACCGACTCGCTCTATCGCCTACAAATTCGTGGATATGTAGTGGAAATTCAATCATCTCAATCTGATACACTGGATTTCTGTTTAACAACAAATGATACCACTTTAGTTGAATATTAATTCACTTGGAAATTACTCACAGTCACTATTTTTAATGTGTTCATCATATCATCCAGATTTGGATGACGCATTTTATATTTGAGTAAATCACTTATTTTATAAAAGTAGTTTTAGTTATCCATTGATAAATAATATTATTAAAGTCTGAAGATTTGCTAAAAATAACTAAGTATTTTCAGAGCAATCAACCAGATGTATAGAGAATAAGATTGCTATGTATTAATTGGGATTTTTGAGTTTAATGTAATACGTCTAAAATGTTAATAGAATAATTAAGGTAAGTATTTTTGAACTATGTCTATAGTGTGTAAATATAGTCAAACAGACAATAACGGTAAATAATAATAGAGAAATAATTACTCCACTAGAACTACCAACCAGCCAGCATGATTTCAAGTTTCACTTTATATTACAAAATTTTGTTGCCGTATTTTTATCGAAATATTAATCGTATTTTGCTGAGATAAAAAATAGTTGTATATATTAGTTAATGTTTCAGTATTTACTTTTTACATTTTATTTTTAATTTAAAAGTGTGCATTAAACGCTGGTAGTTCTGGTGTGAAATTTTTTAATTCAAACTTTAAAAATTGCTGTCTGTCAACAGTAAAGCTACCTTCGAATGCTGGGTTAAATGCTAATTCATCAAAGTCAGAACTTTCGTAATTTTCGTAAGAACAAAATTTATTGTGACTAATTTAGTTTGTCATGTACCATTTTCTAAAGTTCTTCAAATGAAATATCTTGAGATTTCGAATACTCAAAGCTTCACAATTCGGAAATTTTAAAGATCATAAGTCCCAAATTTTAAGAATTGTAAAACTCCTAAGTCTAAAATCGCAATTACGAATTTCCAAAGCTTCATAACTTAAAAGCTTAAAAATTCCGAAATTCTAAACTCATGAAGTTCCATTCTCATTCCCAAATTGTAAATGTTAAAAATTCCAAAATCCTAAATTTCGACTTCCTGCAAGCTTAAGCTTTCATAATTCCAAAATTCCAAAATTCCAAAATTCCAAAATTCCAAAATTTCAAAATTCTAAAATTCAAAAATTTTAAAGTTCTAATAACAATAAATGTGAATTTATTTGCACTTAGTGTATGGTACAAGTTCCAAACCAAAGTACGCTTAGAATTTGGTGTTTATTGTGAAATCGCAAGTAAAAATATTTAATATTAATCCTATTTAATATTAGCATATCAAAGAGCACTCTTAAGAAAATATTCTGGCGTGAGGAGCGCTAAGAGCACACTTTCAGTAATGAGAGTCTGTTACAATTACCATAAACATCATTGCAATTACGTGGAATAGGATATTTTCAACTGTAAAACGACAGTTATAGTAAATCACAGAAGAATACGTTCATTTAATATGTTAACGGAAATTGGATTTAATTGTTAATTTCACACTTATATAATAAAAGAATAATATATTACTGCAAACCTTCCTTCCGCGTGCGAACACGTACTATTAATACACGCGCAGGAGATTAAAGAACAATTAAATATTAAAAGAGAGATCCAATGTGATAAAATTAAATGAATCTACATTCATTAATTTATAGTTTATTAGAGCTTGATCCCATAAAATAATAATTTTTATTTCATGCTTCATTTTATTTCTTTTTAAAGTATACGTGCATTGTATAATATATAAATTGTACATTCTCCACTCTATTTTGAAGTTCTTCAAAAAGATATTTTCTTTTTATTAAGTGTGCAGTATTCTTGCGTCAGAGTTGATTCTATGTAATGTTAAAATATATTTTTTACTAAAAACTTTACTAATATACATATATACAGTACTTTTATAGTGACAAAGCACGGGAGATATGCGCTAAATATGTATCTTTAGCAAATACGATGGATTACCAGTAATCAGGGTGGGCATTAAGTACACAGATTGTGTATGTAAAATATTTTATATCTACAATTCTGCTATGTGTGGAATTTTATATCTAAAAATTTGGCGAACTTGTGAATTTTTAACTTAATAAATTTTTTAATTTAAATTTTTATAAATGTACGAACTTTAATATTTCATAATTACCAAATTTACAAATTTTTCAATTCGAAAATTTTCAAATCCAGACATTTTCAAATCTCCAATACATTAAATTCTCAAACTACCCTATTTTTCAAGTCGAAACATTTTGTTTTTCAGCAAACATGTAACAAAAAAATTTCAAATTGGAATTGTTCAAATTTCTAAACTTTCAAATTTTGAAATTTTCAATCTCCAATGTGAATTTCTGAACCTCTATATTCCTAAATTTTTTAATTTCCAAATCTCCAAATGTCTAATTTTCAAATTTCCAAATTTTTGTTTCTACATTAAAAAGAAAATCCTCTGCGTCTTTAATGGTAATTCATACATCATAAAATGTATTAAATGTGAATACTTTTATAAGTTCCTGTATGTAAAACACGTCGCTATAGTATATACTGTTTGTTCTTTCCAGGCTTCCATTAAATTGAAGGCTTCAGCAGTGAAACGTTGCAATTTAGTTCAATGATATGTGTGCTACAAGGTTTTATCGATAATGTTTCTATTGTTCAATCGAAATTCTCATCTTTGGAAGTATCAGAATTCTAAAACACTGAACTTTTTGCATATCTGTAGTTGAGATGTCGCGATAACGTATCATGGAACAGAAACGATCGACGTCGCATGATGCCCTTGCCCCTCGATTTTCTTCTCAAGGAATGCTCTGACCGTTGATTTTATCGAAAGGGAAGAACAACATTTTCTGATAGACAGCTTGACTTACCGAGCCGTAAAGAAGACCACACGAATCCATACACAGGTACAGGCAGGTCGCAACACCTTGAATCCTCAGTTGACCTCTGGACACCGACGTTCGTTGAAATATCGCTGTAACAAGTAGAAGAAACAAATGAACGATTACCTTTTACTCATTTCATTACACTTTATGTTAAAATGCTCAATACACTATACATTATTAATGGAACGACATATGCTACTGAACGTAGACAAATAATTGAATACAATTAAAATTTGCTATTATATTCGTCAACCACCACTAACTTCATATTCAATAAGTTTACTGTGCATAATTATGTATAATTACTGTACATATGTTTTATATTTAGGACATTTAAAAGATATTACAAAAAACTTGTAGTATCAAATTGTCGTTTAATTTTAGTACAGTCGATCGAGTAAATGTTAGCAAACAGCAAGAAAAGATAATAAAATGAAAAAATCTTTCCTCATATTATAATTCTTGAAATAAGGGTTATTTAAAAATTCTCAAAGTACCAAACAATGATTTTAAGTTTCAAATTCTTCTAATTAAAATATTTGTTGAAAAAACATAGCAGAGATTAACTGAACTACGCATACATAATACGCATACGCACTGCGTATCTCTACATCGTTCGAAAAAATTTTTGCACTTTCTCAACGAATACTTTAACTAAAACGAAAAAATACTTCGACTTATCTAGATCAAACACGTAATTGAATATAGCTACAAAAAATGTCGGTCTATATTTGTTTGCCGTGAAAATAGCATTCTCATAAGTCCTATTGGTGAAAATAAAAAAACGTTACATAAAGTTCTGCCGTAAATATTTGATTGCAATGTTATAATCAAGTGTCAACGCAGATTTATATATCAAACTAGTATTCATATATTTCTTACATTTTCTACTGAGCAATAAATGCACAAACAACCGTAGTCCAATTACAATAATTTATTAAGGGGATCTACTCCGACACGGGAGCGCAAAGAATTTAAATACACAGTTCTATCACGGTAATACATATTTAATTAGAGCGAAGAGAAAATCCAAGTGTCCATCTAATTCCGATTTCTCTACTTTTCGCAAATTAAGTACGAACACCTATTAAAACTCTGCCAAGAGGAACGCTTTCGTTTTTTTCCGTTATTATGCTAGAAATGCTGCGTGTGCTAACAACCTGGGAGTCCATTTATCCCTGGGGGCCGGATGTAGCCTGCTTCGACTCGTTCTGGCTCGACTGCAGTGTAATCATTCCTATTTTTCGCCGCATGTAAATACAAAGTATACATAGGGCACATTCTTGACAATCTTCCAGAGAGCGGGTCGTTCCTTGCGGTTACAAGGTATCGATTATCGGTATCAAACAACGCTAAAGAAGGAGTAATCAAACGGTCCAGTCAAGGAACGACGACAAGTGTAACTAATTATGTCGATAGTATCACTGAATATGTAAATACGTGAAATATAAAATTTCTGTACCGCATAAATTGTAATGATCGTAAGAACATAAAACGTAGCCAATAGAATTCTCAAAGAATGCAGCCTTTAGATAACAAAATTGTCATTTTCATGACACGTATTTTATCAAAATGTGAACCTTTATACCTTTTACTAGAGTATACAATTTTGTGAAATCCAATACGTACACACTAGTTATGGACACTAATTCTTAAATTTCAGAATGTTTGTTTGCATATTAAAGTGGACAAAACTTTATATAAAAGCTAGGATATTTGTCAAACAGTTCTTATTATGCTAGCCGTTAATTTTCAATATTATTAATATTATTGGCGTGTTATTTATTTATAGAAGAACGTTAAAATCAATTATGTTGAGCTTGTATAATACCGTTAATAATGTTCTACTAAACCAGAACAATGAGAGTTGCAAATTTGAAAATTTATGTTTAAAAGTGTACAATCATGAAAATGTGATAATAGGAAAATTTCTAAACTCAAATGTTAAAAAATTAGAAACTTGAATATCTATTTTGTTCATTTCACAAATTGCTATAGTCGTTAAAAAAAGTAATATGGTCTATTAACTTTTATTACCATTTTCCCTAAAAACGCCTACTATGTACAGTAACGTACACTACAATGAGAGAAAGTTGTAAAAATAAATATCTATTTTACTGATTCTTTAAAAAGTTTTAACAAATTCAAAAATTCGTTAAAAAAATGCGTTGTCTCCATTTGTGATCTCTTTTAATTACTATAATTTGAATTCATAAGAACATGGAAATTTACATATAAGATTCATGTCTGGTTGTATTCATGTTAGTATCTCAACATACTAATCCTGTTACTAGGGTGTATATAATCTATTAAAGAAACACAAGGAAACTGTAAATTAAACAGGGTGAGAAACAGGGCGCTTGTGAATGAATACATCAAATAGGAAAAAAAGAAAGTAATCAAACAAGGGTAAGTTTTCAATAGCTTAAATAAGAGTATTAATTTTCACACTATTTGAGACTTTCTTTCGAACTTGATAGTTAGTTGTTCTACGATATTTTTTAATATTACATTGATATTGCAGATTAGTTGAAGAAGTCATTTCGTTGTTTATATGTAAGTAGGTTCAAAGTAGATGTAATCCGTCGCAATGCATTATTTGAATTAAAAATTATGGCTGTTATATAAATTCTTTAAGAGAATGTCAACATATACTGATTTAATGAGCAATGATAAAAATAACTCGAGGCCAGTGAATCATTAAAATATTAATTTGAATTTTGATATTTTAGAACTTTGAATTTACGAATTTAAAAATTTAAAAATTTAGAAATTTAGGAATTTTGGAATTTAGGAATTTAGGAATCTAGGAATTTAGGAATTTAAGAATTTAGGAATTTAGGAATTTAGGAATTTAGGAATTTAGGAATTTAGGAATTTAGGAATTTAGGAATTTAGGAATTTAGGAATTTTGGGATTTACGAATTTACGAATTTACGAATTTACGAATTTACGAATTTACGAATTTACGAATTTACGAATTTACGAATTTACGAATTTACGAATTTACGAATTTACGAATTTACGAATTTACGAATTTACGAATTTACGAATTTACGAATTTACGAATTTACGAATTTACGAATTTACGAATTTACGAATTTACGAATTTACGAATTTACGAATTTACGAATTTACGAATTTACGAATTTACGAATTTACGAATTTACGAATTTACGAATTTACGAATTTACGAATTTACGAATTTACGAATTTACGAATTTACGAATTTACGAATTTACGAATTTACGAATTTACGAATTTACGAATTTACGAATTTATGAATTTACGAATTTACGAATTTAGAAAATCCAGAATTTAGGAATTTGGAAGTTCTCTATTATAGTAAATTTTTTTGTTTGTTTGTTTAGAGTTCAAAGTCGCATCAACATCAAGGTCATTAGCGACTATCGACTGGTTTAGATACTTATTGTCTTTAATTGATTAATTTAGGAGAAGGTTCCATGTTCTATAGGGTTTTATATCATGTTAAGAACTCCGATCGTCTTGCAGAATGTAATTAGGGAATCTTGATATGATGTAGAGGTGATTGCTTCTGCGAGGTCGTCCTTGATGTTAAATTTTCTATGTTCTTCGTTATATTTCCTGCAATCTAGTATAATATGGTTGATACTTATGGGTTCATTACATGATTCGCATAGAATGGGGGGGACTGTTGTTTAGGATGTACGAATGTGTCAGTTTGGTATGACCAATTCTGATTCTAGTTATTGCTGTTTGCTGTCTCCTGTTGAAATTAGAGTTTGTTTTGAAGTTGTAGAAACTGTTTGTTGATTTGTGAAGTGTGCTTGCTTTGTAGTTTTTCCATGCTCGATTCCATGACTGTTTCCATAGTGACTTTAGATGATTATTGATGTCCATAGAGGTGCTGCAGAGAGGTTGATTATCCGGGTGTAGTGTTGCTGCAATTTTTGCTTCGAGATCGGCCATGACATTCCCGTGGATGTCTATGTGGGAAGGGACCCATGCTATCGTTATTTTCTTCCCATGTGTAGTTAATTTGTCGTATAGTTCTTGTATTGTTGTGTGGAATTCCATGGTCTGCTTCAGGTTTTGTGTCTTTAGGATAGTGGAAAGGAAATCGGAGAATATGATGAATGTAGAATGAGGAGATTTATCGATGAATTCAAGAGCTGAAAAGAGCGCGTAACTTTCGGCTGTGTGGATGCTATTGAAAGGGTTCATTCCGTGTTTTATTGTAGTACTTTGCGTGAATACAACTGCACCTGTTCCAAGATCGCTCTTGGAGCCGTCAATATAGACATGGGTGTATCCAGAATATTTGGCACATAGGATGTTAAATCGGTCTTTCCATTCCTGTGTGATTAGTTCTGTCCTTTTCTTTTCTATAAGTGATAGGTCAATATTGGGTGTCTTCAGTGACCATGGGGGTGTTTTATGGAATCTGGTTTTTTCTGTGATTGGTAGGTTGTATTTCGCTTGTTTGAAAGTCGTAGCTTTTTGGGAGATATATATTGCATAGGCATATTTTAACTGGCGTAGATAATTGAACTGCAACTGCTTCGATATTTGTTCATAATTGGACCTCATTGCAATTTATTTCGTTTTTAACGTAAACCGCGACTCCACCACTAGCGAGATTAGAAATAATGCGATTTTTTGCGAAACATTGATAGTCTTTGATTAATCCGATATTATCATTTTTGAAGTTAGTTTCCTGAACGCAAAGGGCAATGGGTTTATAGTTCTTAAATAATAGTTGCACTCTTTCTAATCGAGCGTGGAAACCGTTAACGTTCCATTGTAGTATATTATTCATAGTTGTATTGTTTGATGGAAGAGGTTTACCTAAGATGTATCGGAGTCTGAGACATTTATTTCGTTCTCATTAAACAACAAAATTATATTATTTTATTATATATTCACCACTATTTTCTATAACCTTCTCCCATTTTCCTGGTAGTTTATCAATTCCTTCCTCGTAAAATGTGGTTGGTTTGGACTGGAAGAAGCTTTCAACAGCCTGCCTGACTTGTTCTTCAGAATTGAAGGTTTTTCCATTTAAAAAGTTCTGTAAGGAACAGAAAAGGTGGTAGTCTGTCGGGGC